TTTAGTAAAAGATACTGCCTCTTCTTATGCACCTTGTCTCTGAAATGCTTCAACGTGGCTGTGGCTTTCCCTTCCCACATGAGAGCAGAGTTCTCTGCGCAAGGTTTCTGTCTCCGTGCAGGGATGGGGGGTTTCCTCCACCTTCCCCAACCGCAGGCCGGCACTCGGTCGCTGCACAGGGCGCTGCTCTCTGTACCTGCTCCCTTTTCCTCAGGGGCGCTTGGGAATAGGTGTATGTAGTAAAGACCCCATAGCCCCGCTCCCCGGGTGGCTGCTGCCGTGCTCTCGCCTGGGATCGGAGGGAACCGCACCCATCTCCCTCCCTTGGCACCTTCCGCCCCGCTGGGCCCGATCCCGTGGGGCGGGTGCTGTTGGGAGCCGGGTGCTGCTCCTGCCGCGGCGCTGACGTCGATGCGCAGCAGGGAGCTCCCTTGGGCTGGAACAGAGGAGAGGGGCCCGGGTTTGTGCTGCTGCACCCCCGGCAAATTCCTGCCTGGGGCCCGGGCAGTGCTCGGCGCTCCGGGAGCGCTCTGCGACCGGGAGGTGTCCGGGTGTGTCCTCCCGAGGCTCCGGCGTGCCGCGGTCCTGTGTTCAGCGTGGGAGGGGCTGTGCCGCCAGGGCTCTGGCTTCCACACTGCGGATAGAGCCATAGGTCAGCGCTCTTTGGTCTTAATTTTTCGGCTCTGTTGGGGAGGACGGGCAAAGGAGGAAAAAGGCAGGAAGAAGATTTAGTTTTCTGTCTCTAGAGTGGCAGAAATACGTTTTTCAAGCTTTGCCTGAGGAGTTCTGGGCTTTAAACTTACCCCTGGAGTTGAAGGGACTCACACCTGATGGGGTGAAGCATTGCAGTTTTGGAGGCTCATCAGTTTTCCTTCAGAAGGCAGAAAGCTGCTGGTCAAGGTAACCCTTTAGGTTTTTGTGGCCAGCTCTTGTCCTTTCTGCCTGAATTGCCAAGGCATAACTGTGTCTGAACACGTTTTACAGCAGCACAACGGATAATAAAAAACCCCCCACCAAGCTGTGGACATGGGAGTGACCAGATGACTGTAGATTATAGCGGGTTTTGTTCTCCTTACATTTCTTTTTTTTTCCCTCTGTCTTTAGACTTTAAAGAGAAAGGAAAAAGAGTATGAACATGAGATGGAGCGGCTGGCAAGAGAGAAGATTGCTACCCAGCAGCGCCTGGCGGAATTGAAGAACGAGTTGAGCCAGTGGATGGACATCTTGGAGATTGACAGGATTATTCGACAGACAGTTCAGCCAGAGGATGACCAGGCATCTACCTCGACAGCATCAGGTACCCATCACTTTTCTCTTCTTGTAATCGTCACCGTACGTCCCTGGCACAGGTACATGGGGGTGGTGAGGATCTTCATTTAGCACCATCAGATTTCTTTGTATTCACAATAAAGTAAAAGGTTTTCAAGCGGTTTGTAACCATTGATGTTGGTCTAATAACACGCTGCCGCTTGTATAGAGCAAACTGCAAATCCTGCATCAGCTTTAGGTAGAATCAAAGTGCAGGTCTGCACCCTCAATCTGCTGATACCTCAGGCGGAGATCCCTGCTCCCCAAACTTAGCTTTCCTCTTGCACAGCTGTGCGTCCCTGCGCGTTAGAACTGGGTGTGTCTGAGCGTCCTGAGGTGTTTGTGCGTGGATGTGGGTGGGTGTTCAGCCACGTAGAGAAGAAGGATTCGGTACAGGAAGGATCTCCAGAGCGTTTGAACAACTTAATGAGCCTTCACGTGGTGTGGAAAGGATTCCCAGTGAAGATGAAACGGTACTGAGGAATGTCTGACGTGCTGCCCCCGGTAAGAAGTTTCTGTGAGATAGGAGGGTGCATGCTTTTCTCCAGACCGGTGGTTTGCAGCAGGAGGAATAGGCGGTCCTGGATGTACAGTGCTTTGCTTTCCAGAGACAAGGAGGCTGTAGCAGTCCGTAACTGTTGGCAGCAGTTCCTTCAGATCGAGACAGCGTTTGCTCTTGGCGCTCCGGGCAGCCAGTACAGCGGGTTCCAGGAAGGCAAAATCTGAATTTTCTGGTTCGTTCAGGCTTGTATCAGGCTCATCACCTTTGACCACACTCGCAGACTCCGAGCGTAGGCTGATGGAAGTTGAGAGTAGGAGCGCTTTGTCAGTAGGAGTGTCAGCATTCACCTCTCCAGCTGGCCTCTGCTGAAAACCATCTCTTCACGCTGCTACTAACCACAGAGCTTGCAGAAGGGAAGCGTCTTCCCTGGTTTTCCTGCCGCTTCTCTGTCTTCTGAGATTTTTAATCTCTGCTGCATGGCTGTCTGTCGAGCAGGCAGTGCAAAGGTGCCCTGCTCGTGCTCCTGACCTCCGCAGGGTCAGCACCTTCCTGCAGTGCTCCGGTAGTTCCTGGAGTGGACCAGAGTCCGTTTTCCAGAACCAGACGAGGAACTTTCTGCCGTGTTTCTCCGTGACTTGTTTCCTTCCTGCTCTGGGAGCAGAAGGGGTGGTACCGATCGGTGGAACAACTGGACAGGAAAGGAAAGCTGTTCCTCTCGCAGACGGAGCCCTCTTCAGCGCCCCGGAGCTCAGCCCCGGCGCTCTCCGTCTGCCTCCGCTCACGTCGCTTCCCTTGCCCGCCGAGCGGGGTCTCAGCCTGTCGTGAGCTCCCCTCTAGCTGGGGCTTTGAGCCTGGCTCCGGGTCCTTGGCCCACAAGCAGGGAGGAGAGGGCCGTGGTGCCGTGCCGTGCCGTGCCGCCGGCCCGTAGCTCAGTGACTCCTCCTGCTGTTGTCTCTTCCGCCTGTGCTGCCTTTTAGGGAGGCCGGTTAGTCCAGTTCGTGCTCTGCTTTCTTTTTATGGGAGTCTCTTCCTTTCGTTTTTTCCAGAGGGTGAAGACAACATGGATGAAGACATGGAAGATGACAGGCCAGTGAACTCATTACCAAAACTAACCCAGCGCCAGCACCCAGAGCTCCTGAAAGCCGTCCCCGCCAACGCTGCTCCCCACCACCCGGCGGTTCTGCCTCAGCACCTCTCCATCCAGCAGAAACAAACCCCAGCCCACACACAGCCTCCCATCCAGACACAAGCACTGGTCCAGCCGCAGGCGATCGTCCCTGCACAGACTCACATCGTGGCGGCTTCGACAGTGCAATCGACTGTTATCGCCCACACCGCCACTACCCACGCTTCGGTCATTCAGACTGTCAACCACGTGATTCAGGGTCCACAGACCAAGCACATTGCTCACATTGCACCTTCCACGTCCAGCCCCGTGCAACTCACCACTGCTGCTCAGCCCATCGGCCACATCACTGTGCACCCAGCCACCATCAACCACATGGCCCACCTCGGCCAGCAGCTGCCCATCTACCCCCAGCCCGTGGCCGTCAGCCAGCCCGTGGTGAGCCACATCGCTCACACGATCTCCCACCAGCAAGTGAACGGAACCACAAACCTTGGCCAGCAAGCGGTGATGGCCAAGCCCGCTGTAGGAACCCAAGTTGTCCATCACCCGCAGTTAGTTGGGCAGACGGTCCTAAACCCGGTGACTATGGTGACCATGCCGTCATTCCCAGTGAGCACGCTGAAGCTGGCCTAGAGGGGATCGTCCGACAGCGAGGGCTTTGTTGGGAACCTTTCCTAAACTCCATACATTCCAACCATGTCCGGCTCCGCGGGAGGGAAGTGCAGAGGCCGCCGGGCGGCGGGACGCCGGGCTGGGTGTCCTCTGCCGCCCCGTGACCAGCTGCGCCGGCAGCGCCGGGCCCGGCCGCTCTGCACTTGAGTTTTGCTAATCCGAGGAAACTTCAAAGACAGTTGTTCATGGTGATTTTTTTTCCTTTTATGTGTAATCAGTGAAATATGGATATGATGTTCTTAAGACTTTAATTTTCCCCTTTTATGTGTTGCTTCTTTGTAGAATAAAAATTGCTGATCTCTTTATTGAGACATTGCGTAGAATGGGAAAAAAAATCATAGAAGTCTATATTTATATATATGTGTGTATGTGTGTGTATATATATGTATATACATATATATATAAATATAACATTTGAAGAAGGCCTTTTGTAAGGTTGATTATTTTGCAGGATTATTAGACAAAATTCATTTTTGGAGGAAGAAGACAGAGTGTCCTCTCTAAACAAGAAACTTTAAGGTAGATGGTTTGGTGGACCAGGGTACATATACAGCGACAAAAAAAAAAAAAAAAAAAAAAAAAGAAAGAAAAAAGTGAAACCATGTTAAAGGTATTTCCCGTCAATATATTACATTTCAAAAAAACCATCTAAAATCACTGTGACTTGTTATGGCATTTTAAGGAAATTCTCTGTCCTGTCTAATAAAAGGAAAAAGAATACACAACCGGACTTCATTTGTCGCAGTTTTATAAATGACTTGATTTTTATAGCTATGTCAAAAAAAATTGTTTTTTATTATTTTAACAGTTGACAATGTTTTGTTTGGATGTTTTTTTGCGGGGGGAGTTGTTTTTTTTGTTTTGGCTTGGTTTTGCTGATGCAATAATTTTGCAGATCTCTGTGCGTGGCGCCCCCCCTCCCAGGACCCCTCCTGCCAGCCCCAGGCCCCCGGGGTTCTTGGGTTCGGTTTTGTTTTGCAGAGGCAGATGTTTTGTGCTGGCAACTTGCAATATGTTTTATCTGGCCTGATACAATGGAACTGGGATGAGACGACCGACAGAAATTAAGTAGATTTGCTGCATGGGTTAATTTTCTTGGTTAGTTTGTTCCTGAACTGACCAGGTGTGAGTGTGGGAGTCAGTGGATTAGGGAAGGGATAAATGCGGATGTGGTGTCGTCCAAAGTGCAAGCGGTTTTGTCATCTTTTTTTCTTTGGGGGGAAAAAAAGAATAACCTAGTGCCGTGTAGAATGAGGGTGGACGGCAGGAGATCAGGTTGTGTGACCTGGGTCTTACAGCGAGACGTGCACCAAAGAGCAGCCCTCGCCCCGGGGACCCTTGTCGGCCCTGCCGGGGGCTTGGGGCAGGTCCCGCGCGGCCGGCGCGGACTCCGCCGAGGAGGGTGTTGGCTGGGAGGCTGCTTAGGTCACGTTTCTCCGCCGGCTGAATATCCTGGTCCGTGCACCGTTCTGTGTGGAGTGCTGCTAGTGACGGTCTCTCCTCCGTCCCCCTCTCTTGCCGAGGCCGAGCCCTCGGCGGCCCTTGGTGCGGGCGAGTTCCCGCTGTGGCCAGCGGCCGCTTCCCCGCGGGGGGCGGGAGGACGGTTCCTGCAGCATCCGCGCGGGGTTCGGGGGTAAGGTGGGGCTGGGCGGTCGCACCTGATGGCTTGTTTTGGGTCCGGATCTCCCGCAGGAAAACATGACCCGCTCTGCCCCGAACGCCTCTTGACTCCTGCAGGACTTGTGCCCGGTCGTGGACTGAGGTTTACTTTGGAAAACTTTCCAGTCCTGCGCCGTCCTGCTGTGGTGGAAACGGGGCTGAGGCGGGGGTAGTTACTGCAGAGATGAAGCGCGATTGTGCCTTCTGAGCAGACGTGGCTGAGAGTCTCCATGAATCTGTTTATAACGCCGCTCCATAGTTAACACTTCTTAAATTTTTTTCCTGGCATCCTTGAGTCTGGGAAGCTCTTGCCCGTGTTGCTAGCACGCTTCCTACAGCAGAATGGGCAAATCGTCAAGGATTCCTTATCCTTGAACCACGTGTAAGTCAGTTTGTTCTGGTTTCCAGTGCACCATTAACGCTGTGGGGTTGGCGGAATCGCCGGGGCTTCGTTGTCTCCGTGTACGTGCAGGCGCTTTCCCAGGGACGCGTTGGGTGTGCCGTGGCTCAGGGGTCAGTGTTAGGTATCGGGACGCCTGGTCCTCATCAGAAACTCTTGAAAGCTGAGTATTTACAACAGGGTCATCTCCCTCTTGGCAGGACCTGCGTGGCTTTGCCTCCTGTAGCTGCCCTAGGAGGGGGAGGAAGCGTCTTTCTGCCTTTCTTCACTGTTCCAGCCCATAAAATTACCGAGTTGAGGCAGGGAGCCTCGTCTCTAGTGAAGAGTGGCAGAGCTCAGCTCGTGGGTGTTGGCCAAGAGCCCCTCCGTCCCCCCGAGGCCGTGCCCCGTGTGCTGGTGCTGCGGGATCGGCCGGCGTCGGGGGGTCCTTCCCCCCCCTCATCCCCGGCAGTCCTGCCTGAGGGCTGAAATCTGCCCCCCCTGTCCCCCCCCCGCCTCCCCATCCCCAGGTGGGCGCTGGTGGCGGCAGCGGCCCAGGCAGGAGCTGCTCCCTGCTTTCCCCAGCCCAAAGCGTGAGGGGTGGGGAGAAAAGTTCCTGTTTCCTTTGATGCAGGCGAAGGAGCTTTCGTGGCCTTTAGGGACAGGTGATGCTGCTGACCTCCTCGTCCGTTCCTCCCCTCGGGGTCACTCCCTTGCCCAGTACAGCCCCGCGCCCGGGCCAGGTCTTTCCCCGCGGAGCCCCGCGGTGTCTCAGCCCCCTCAGCCCACCCTCGCAGCGGGTCGGGACGTCTCTGCTCCCCCCGCTCCCATCTGCCTTTCCCATGGCTGCCGGGAACGTTTCTTTGGGGTTTTTTCTGTTTGTTTTTTTCAAGTCAGTGAACTTCTTTCTGTTCTGTGGGGAAAAGAGCAAACCGCAGCCCTTCTTTCCCCCACGTCCGTCATTCCTGCTCAGAAACTTCAGATTTGCGCTAATGCTCTTAGAAACCATGTTCAGTACTGTATAACCAGGGGCACTTTAGAAATGTCTCTCCTCCTCTGATATATGTGTTTTCCCTATGGAGAAAGCGATATATAAATATATATATATGTACACTTTGGGATTCAGAAGATCTAATTTGTCCCAAAAAAATCAATAAATATGAAGTTTACAAGAAATCTCTTCTGTTGTTGAATAATATTAGTTATTGGTAACCATACCACAGAAAAAATAGCAAATGGGTTTTCTGTGTAGTAGTTCCGAGATTTGAGTGTCCTGTCGAGCCTGACTCGGCGCTGCGGGCCCGGGGAGGGCAGGCCCTGGTCCCCCGCTGCGGCGTTCCCCCCGGCAGCCTGCCCGCTCCCCGCGCGCTGCCGGCAGCGCAAAACGGGCTCAAAAGCTTGATCCGGGCTTAAAACCTCATCCAGCGCGGCCGTGTGCGTCGAGATCTGGGCGAGCAAACCCCGCGGACGGCCGCGGTTACCTGCCAAACCTCTCTCCTGTTTCCCAGCGTCCCCGGGCTGGGGAGCGGGCGAGGGTTTTGCTGCCCTGAGCCCAGCCTGGCTGGGACAGGCCGGGGAGGCGCGGGCGCCGCGTTGCTTCGGGCTGGTGTCCGCTCGCCTGCCGAGTACGCGCGGGCGGAGGGGACTAGACCCGGCTGCTCCCTCCAGCTGTCCTGGGAGATCTGGGAGCTGGCGCCGGAGGTACGGGAGCGAGTTCCTGACCGCACGGCGGCAGTTGGCCAGAGCCCGGAGTTCAGCTTAGGGAGGGCAGAGGCCGAGCGGCTGTGCCGGCACGTGTGCGTGTGTGCGTGTGTCTGTGTCTGTGTGTGTCTGAGTGTCTCTGTATGTGTGTGTGTACGTGTGTGTGTGTCTCTGTGTGTGTCTGTGTGTGTCTGTGTGTCTCTGTGTGTCTCTGTGTCTCTGTGCATGTGTGTCTGTGTTTGCGTGTCTGTGTGTGTCTGTGTGTTTCTGTATGTGTGTCTGTGTGTGTGTGTCTCTGTCTGTCTGTCTCTGTGTGTCTATGTCTGTGTGTCTCTGTGTGTGTGTGTCCCTGTCTGTCTGTCTCTGTGTGTCTGTGTGTGTGTGTCTGTGTGTGTCTGTGTGTGTGTGTGTCCCTGTCTGTCTGTCTCTGTCTGTCTCTGTGTGTCTGTCTGTCTCTGTGTGTGTGTGTGTGTGTGTGTCTCTGTGTGTCTGTGTCCCTGTCTGTGTGTCTGTGTGTGTGTGTCTCTGTCTGTCTCTGTGTCTCTGTGTGTCTCTGTGTGTCTGTGTGTCTCTGTGTGTCTGTGTCCCTGTCTGTCTCTGTCTGTCTGTCTCTGTGTGTCTGTCTGTCTCTGTCTGTCTCTGTGTGTCTGTGTGTGTGTGTCCCTGTCTGTCTGTCTGTGTGTGCGCACCCCCTCCTGCCGTCCGGCCCGCGGGCCGAGCCTGGAGCCGCTGCCGCCCTCGGCCGCCCCCGGGTTGCTCAGGATCTCTGGCACCGGCCGGAGCAGGCAGGGGGGTCGAGGGAAGAGTTCAAAAGCAGCAGACAAATACCAACAGCCATGACAACCGTTTTCTGCGTGCTTCAGGCGGGCGGGAGGCGGGAGGTTCCGAGGTCTGGTTCATGAGCTGGGCTTTAGAGCCCGGCTCAGGGTCGCGCTCCTGTCCCGGTACAGGCCGAGGGGTCGTTCTGGCAGGAGAAGCCCCGGTGTCACTCCGAGGATCA